TGAAGGATGGGTGAAGGTAGGGAGTACAGTGCCTGCACTCTGAAGGATGGGTGAAGGTAGGGAGTACAGTGCCTGCACTCTGAAGGATGGGTGGAGGTGGGAAATACAGTGCCTGCACTCTGAAGGATGGGTGGAGGTGGGAAATACAGTGCCTGCACTCTGAAGGATGGGTGGAGGTGGGGAGTACAGTGCCTGCACTCTGAAGGATGGGTGGAGGTGGGAAGTACAGTGCCTGCACTCTGAAGGATGGGTGGAGGTGGGAAGTACAGTGCCTGCACTCTGAAGGATGGGTGGAGGTGGGAAGTACAGTGCCTGCACTCTGAAGGATGGGTGGAGGTGGGAAATACAGTGCCTGCACTCTGAAGGATGGGTGGAGGTGGGAAATACAGTGCCTGCACTCTGAAGGATGGGTGGAGGTGGGGAGTACAGTGCCTGCACTCTGAAGGATGGGTGGAGGTAGGAAATACAGTGCCTGCACTCTGAAGGATGGGTGGAGGTAGGAAATACAGTGCCTGCACTCTGAAGGATGGGTGGAGGTAGGAAATACACTGCCTGCACTCTGAAGGATGGTTGGAGGTAGGAAATACAGTGCCTGCACTCTGAAGGATGGGTGGAGGTGGGAAGTACAGTGCCTGCACTCTGAAGGATGGTTGGAGGTAGGGTACAGTGCCTGCACTCTGAAGGATGGGTGGAGGTAGGAAATACAGTGCCTGCACTTTGAAGGATGGGTGGAGGTAGGAAATACAGTGCCTGCACTCTGAAGGATGGGTGGAGGTGGGAAGTACAGTGCCTGCACTCTGAAGGATGGGTGGAGGTAGGAAATACAGTGCCTGCACTCTGAAGGATGGTTGGAGGTAGGAAATACAGTGCCTGCACTCTGAAGAATGGGTGGAGGTGGGAAATACAGTGCCTGCACTCTGAAGGATGGGTGAAGGTAGGGAGTACAGTGCCTGCACTCTGAAGGATGGGTGAAGGTAGGGAGTACAGTGCCTGCACTCTGAAGGATGGGTGAAGGTAGGAAATACAGTGCCTGCACTCTGAAGGATGAGTGGAGGTAGGAAATACAGTGCCTGCACTCTGAAGGATGGGTGGAGGTAGGAAATACAGTGCCTGCACTCTGAAGGATGAGTGGAGGTAGGAAATACAGTGCCTGCACTCTGAAGGATGGGTGGAGGTAGGAAATACAGTGCCTGCACTCTGAAGGATGGGTGGAGGTGGGAAATACAGTGCCTGCACTCTGAAGGATGGGTGGAGGTAGGAAATACAGTGCCTGCACTCTGAAGGATGGGTGGAGGTAGGAAATACAGTGCCTGCACTCTGAAGGAGGGTGTTACAGTTTTTTAAACTGCAGTGGCAGCACGTCTCTGGCAAGACAGTGATGGAGTGAGTAATGGTGAAAGTGCCTTTTTTATTTTTGGATCCCCGCGCCTTGGTGGGTAGCGGCCGATGTGTTAATAAAGGAAACATTAAGATGGTAAGTTTGGGAAGCAGGTTACCAGAGGAACAGAAAGACTAATATTAAAATTAAGACTTTGTACGCAAGAGGAAGATACAAAATTTTGCACTGTACTTGTCTTCATTACTAGAGAAGTTATAAACTATCAATATGCCATTCATAAGGTCAATTATATTACTGGAAATGTTGAATTGTGCTAAGAGGAAGTTCAAGATCAGTGGTATCATCACTGTGCTCGACCTTTCTCATAACCAATCTAGGTAAATTACTCCAAGACACTACTAAAATTACCTTCAGACTACATAATGAGACAGCTGGTAATAACTTTATAACAGCTATGAACAATGTTGACTGGCATAATCAACTTGAAACATACAGATACTAATGAATGTATTAAGAATATTCTAAAAAAAAAAGAACCCACTACCTCTATAACAATCATTGCCCTGAAAAACTAAACAGATCACAACTCAGAGACTGAACAGTCCCTGGCTAACACCCAGCATCCTTAAATCCATTAACACAAAGCACCAATATGAGAAACAGTACAGAATGGGTCAAATAACTAGAGACCAGTCTTAACGTTACTCGTCAGCACTTACCAGCCTGATAAGGTCAAAAAATTGTATTATGAAAACAGATTACATAACATAAAAGGTGATATGAAAAAGACCTGGAAAACCCTATCCGATATTCTAGGAACTAAGAGAATATTAAAAAACAAAACAATCAAATTAACATACTCAGATGAACATCTACTCTCACCAACTGAAACAGCAAACAGACTCCATGTTTTCTTCTCCACCATAGGAGAGAATCTAGCGAGAAAAATTCCAATCTCAAACACCCGTCCATCAGACTACCTCACAAGCACCTTCCCGTATACACTATTCCCAGCTCCCACCAACCCAACAGAAGTCTCACTCATCAACACCTTAAAAACAAGGCAGAAGATATAAATAACTTACCACCTTTTATGTACAAAAAAGCTTCTCAAGTACTGTCACCAATTATTGCAACACTCTTTAACAAATCCATTGAATCCTCCACCTTCCAGCAGTTCTCAAAATAGCGAGAGTCACCTCGATCCACAAGGAGGTGATCAAGCCAACTTGAATAACTAATAGACGAATTTCTAACTTACTCTGATCTCTAAAATCTTTGAAAAATTAATTCATAGACAGATCTATTCCTACCTCGTCTCACACAACATACTAAACCCCTGTCAGTTTGGATTCAGGAATAATAAAAGCACAAATGATGCTATTATACACATGGTAGAACTAATATATACCGCACTCGAGAAGAAAGAAGTCCCACTGGGAATCTTCATTAATTTACGAAAAGCTTTTGATACTATCGACTATGATTTGCTGCACATTAAATTAACACACTATGGTATAAGAGGCCACTCCCTCAACTGCCTAAAGTCATACCTTAGTAACATAAGCCAATATGTTTACACAAATGGAGCAAACTCTTCCGCACAACCAATCACAGTCGGTGTTCCACAAGGAAGTGTCCTTGGACCACTCCTCTTTCTCATCTACATCACTGACATACCGAATGCATCACAGCTACTCAAACCCATATTATTTGCAGATGACACAACATACGTCTTCTCTCACCCAAACCCAGTCATACTGACCAACACTGTTAATGCTGAATTGCAGAAAATATCTACCTGGATGATGACGAATAAACTTACCCTCAATACTGACATAACCTATTTCATTCAGTTTGGAACCAGAGCTGCAAATGTTCCACTTAACATAACACTAAATGGATCACCCATCACAAGACTCACAGAAGGAAAATTCCTAGGAATCCGCCTAGACAGTAGCCTCAGATTCAAGACAAATATACAACAAATTTCCAAGAAAATCTCTAAGACAGTAGGCATACTATCAAAGATAAGGTACTATGTTCCACAATCAGCTCTCCCTGCACTGTATCTCTCACTCATCTACCCTTATCTTACATATGGAATTTGTGCATGGGGATCAATAACATTAAATCATCTAGGACCAATAATAACCCAGCAAAAGACTGCAGTCAGAATAATAACAAATTCCCACTCCCGACATCATACTCCACCGATATTCACAAGTCTAAAACTGCTCACCATTAAGAACATCCATACTGATTCATGTGCCTACTACATACATAGAACAGTACACGCAAACATAAACTCTCCACTCAGACTTTTCCTCACCAACCTTAACAGGACACATGACCATAACACAAGACACAGATCTCTTTTTGATATACCCCGTGTCCATATCACACTGTGTAAAAAAACTCTGTGCACATAAAGGGCCCCAAAATTTGGAATTCATTACTCGTAAACACAAAAGTAACCAGGTCTGAACACCGATTTAAAGCTCTTCTCAAAAACCACCTACTCACCCTAAACTAAATACCCAGTACTCAATACTTAACTTTACCAAAAATCACCCAATAACCTAAATCTTAAAACTTCAAATCTAGAAGCCCAAAGTTCATATATCATTAATACTACATTGTAATATAAATACCTACCTAAAACAATACTGACTTACACCCAATAGTAACATTCTCATACTGTAAACTACTTTCAACAACTCGCAATGTTATATTTTCGTAATAATTTCAATAATTATTACTGAAACTATTGTAATTAGAGTAAAATTACTGCTTACTATAAATAAAAAACAGATGTAAAAATTAAACACACAGAGTGTGTGGTGTATACTGCTAGAAACACACTTGTTGTGTTAGAGTGTGTGGTGTATACTGCTAGAAACACACTTGTTGTGTTACAGAGTGTGTGGTGTATACTGCTAGAAACACACTTGTTGTGTTACAGAGTGTGTGATGTATACTGCTAGAAACACACTTGTTGTGTTACAGAGTGTGTGGTGTATACTGCTAGAAACACACTTGTTGTGTTACAGAGTGTGTGGTGTATACTGCTAGAAACACACTTGTTGTGTTAGAGTGTGTGGTGTATACTGCTAGAAACACACTTGTTGTGTTACAGAGTGTGTGGTGTATACTGCTAGAAACACACTTGTTGTGTTACAGAGTGTGTGGTGTATACTGCTAGAAACACACTTGTTGTGTTACAGAGTGTGTGGTGTATACTGCTAGAAACACACTTGTTGTGTTAGAGTGTGTGGTGTATACTGCTAGAAACACACTTGTTGTGTTACAGAGTGTGTGGTGTATACTGCTAGAAACACACTTGTTGTGTTACAGAGTGTGTGGTGTATACTGCTAGAAACACACTTGTTGTGTTACAGAGTGTGTGGTGTATACTGCTAGAAACACACTTGTTGTGTTACAGAGTGTGTGGTGTATACTGCTAGAAACACACTTGTTGTGTTAGAGTGTGTGGTGTATACTGCTAGAAACACACTTGTTGTGTTAGAGTGTGTGGTGTATACTGCTAGAAACACACTTGTTGTGTTACAGAGTGTGTGGTGTATACTGCTAGAAACACACTTGTTGTGTTACAGAGTGTGTGGTGTATACTGCTAGAAACACACTTGTTGTGTTACAGAGTGTGTGGTGTATACTCCCAGCAACATACTCAACCAGAGTCACGTTGTGATCATGTTCACCTCCGGGGCTGGAGTGGAGGTCATGGAGAATATGGGTTACCTAGCCACCAGGATATATCTTCCTATATCCTTTGCGGTGAGTCTTAACAATGTTCTCAGAGCGTAGTAGTAGTAGCAGTAGTAGTAGTGGTGGTAGTATTAGTAGTAGTAGTAGTGGCAGTAATAGCAGTAATAGTAGTAGTAGATGTAATAGACTAGTAGTAATAGTAATAGTAGTAGTAGTAGCAGTTGTTTTGTTACATTAATTGTTACATTAATTAGAGGAGTGTTGAGGAAGTCTTGAACCAAGTGAGAAAATTATTGTTATGGGAGACCTAAGTGCCATAGTGGGAGACAGTGTTGTTGAGGTCGTGGTAGGCAGGTTTGGGGTGCCATAGTGGGAGACAGTGTTGTTGAGGTCGTGGTAGGTAGGTTTGGGGTGCCATAGTGGGAGACAGTGTTGTTGAGGTCGTGGTAGGTAGGTTTGGGGTGCCATAGTGGGAGACAGTGTTGTTGAGGTCGTGGTAGGCAGGTTTGGGGTGCCATAGTGGGAGACAGTGTTGTTGAGGTCGTGGTAGGTAGGTTTGGGGTGCCATAGTGGGAGACAGTGTTGTTGAGGTCGTGGTAGGCAGGTTTGGGGTGCCATAGTGGGAGACAGTGTTGTTGAGGTCGTGGTAGCAGGTTTGGGGTGCCATAGTGGGAGACAGTGTTGTTGAGGTCGTGGTAGGCAGGTTTGGGGTGCCATAGTGGGAGACAGTGTTGTTGAGGTCGTGGTAGGCAGGTTTGGGGCGCCATAGTGGGAGACAGTGTTGTTGAGGTCGTGGTAGGCAGGTTTGGGGTGCCATAGTGGGAGACAGTGTTGTTGAGGTCGTGGTAGGCAGGTTTGGGGTGCCATAGTGGGAGACAGTGTTGTTGAGGTCGTGGTAGGCAGGTTTGGGGTGCCATAGTGGGAGACAGTGTTGTTGAGGTCGTGGTAGGCAGGTTTGGGGTGCCATAGTGGGAGACAGTGTTGTTGAGGTCGTGGTAGGCAGGTTTGGGGTGATATAGTGGGAGACAGTGTTGTTGAGGTCGTGGTAGGCAGGTTTGGGGTGCCATAGTGGGAGACAGTGCTGTTGAGGTCGTGGTAGCAGGTTTGGGGTGCCATAGTGGGAGACAGTGTTGTTGAGGTCGTGGTAGGTAGGTTTGGGGTGCCATAGTGGGAGACAGTGCTGTTGAGGTCGTGGTAGCAGGTTTGGGGTGCCATAGTGGGAGACAGTGTTGTTGAGGTCGTGGTAGGCAGGTTTGGGGTGCCATAGTGGGAGACAGTGCTGTTGAGGTCGTGGTAGCAGGTTTGGGGTGCCATAGTGGGAGACAGTGTTGTTGAGGTCGTGGTAGGTAGGTTTGGGGTGCCAGAGTGGGAGACAGTGTTGTTGAGGTCGTGGTAGGCAGGTTTGGGGTGCCATAGTGGGAGACAGTGTTGTTGAGGTCGTGGTAGGCAGGTTGGGGGTTCCAGAGTGGGAGACAGTGTTGTTGAGGTCGTGGTAGGCAGGTTTGGGGTGCCATAGTGGGAAACAGTGTTGTTGAGGTCGTGGTAGGCAGGTTGGGGGTTCCAGAGTGGGAGACAGTGTTGTTGAGGTCGTGGTAGCAGGTTTGGGGTGCCATAGTGGGAGACAGTGTTGTTGAGGTCGTGGTAGGCAGGTTTGGGGTGCCAGAGTGGGAGACAGTGTTGTTGAGGTCGTGGTAGGCAGGTTTGGGGTGCCAGAGTGGGAGACAGTGTTGTTGAGGTCGTGGTAGGCAGGTTTGGGGTGCCATAGTGGGAGACAGTGTTGTTGAGGTCGTGGTAGGCAGGTTTGGGGTGCCATAGTGGGAGACAGTGTTGTTGAGGTCGTGGTAGGCAGGTTTGGGGTGCCATAGTTGGAGACAGTGTTGTTGAGGTCGTGGTAGGCAGGTTTGGGTTGCCAGAGTGGGAGATAGTGTTGTTGAGGTCGTAGTAGGCATTTTGAGGGTGCCGTAGTGGGAGACAGTGTTGTTGAGGTCGTGGTAGGCAGGTTTGGGTTGCCATAGTGATAGACAGTGTTTTTGAGGTCGTGGTAGGCAGGTTTGGGGTTCCAGAGTGGGAGACAGTGTTGTTGAGGTCGTGGTAGGCAGGTTTGGGTTGCCATAGTGATAGACAGTGTTGTTGAGGTCGTGGTAGGCAGGTTTGGGGTTCCAGAGTGGGAGACAGTGTTGTTGAGGTCGTGGTAGGCAGGTTTGGGGTGCCATAGTGGGAGACAGTGTTGTTGAGGTCGTGGTAGGCAGGTTTGGGGTGCCATAGTTGGAGACAGTGTTGTTGAGGTCGTGGTAGGCAGGTTTGGGGTGCCAGAGTGGGAGACAGTGTTGTTGAGGTCGTGGTAGGCAGGTTTGGGGTGCCATAGTGGGAGACAGTGTTGTTGAGGTCGTGGTAGGCAGGTTTGGGGTGCCATAGTGGGAGACAGTGTTGTT